GGAATCTGCAGTGTACTGAAGACCAAGACCAAAAATGTGGTCTTCACCAAAATGTGAGAAAAACATATAATAAATATAATTTCCTATTAAAATAAATAAAACTGGGGGCTCTGTCCTGAAATTATTATTCATGCTTTCTTAAGTGTAAATGAAAGTATTGTGGAATCTCCAGGCTCACTCCACAGGAACAAAAGAGAAGCCAGATATACTCCAGCACAGCATGGGTCCAGCTGGAAAAAGCATAGGTTGAGCCCTGATCTTAGCTAAGCAGATTAGCGCCAAGATACAACCAAATCACTTTTACACTTTATTCTGATATGCAGCTATTCAGAAAAGTAAGAAGGTGACTTTGTTCCCCATATTACTGGTGCTGAGCATGTTTAACTCTTGGGAATACTCAGCGCTTCATAGCAGTAGTCTCTCTGTTGCTTTTTATGCCTCATGTATAAGGGCTTGTCTCCGCTTGTAAGTTATGCCAGGGTAAAGTCGAAGAGGAATGTGAAGCATCTGAAATAGCTCCTCATGTAACCCCTCTTGCTCAGTAACACTTTTGCACTGCAGATTAAACAACCACCAGAGCTATTCCTCAGCTGTGCTGCAACGTCCGCCTCTCACCCCTCTGATGCCTGAGCCACCCAAGTGCTGAGTGCCCTAGGGCAGATGCCTGCCACTGTCTGAAGTGTTTGGAGGTGCTCAGCCCACTGCCACCCCAGCCAGGAATTTGGGGGGGGGTTTCAGCGGAACAGCTTGGCACTAACCACCCAAACATTCCTTCCAGGTTGAGAAGAGAGGGATGCTTCTGGCTGTGATAAGGTCAGGTTAACCAGTTGTCAGGTGGAAAGAACTGGACAGAGAGAACTTGCTGAAATCTAAGCACTGGCTTATGAAATTTCTGCTGGCGCTGCTGGAGCTAGTCAGCATTATATAGGCCCTGGATCACCAGGGACTTTACGGTCTGTCTTAGTCTATTTGTGTGCAAACAATAACTCTAGCTGCTACTTTCATGAGCTCTGCTCTTTGCAGGAAACAGTAAACTGTGCCTGAAAATCAGTATGTAAAATACATTGTAAGGGAAGGGAATAAAAGATGACCACAGGAAAAAAAAGTGACAAAAGGCTGTAGAAGATTAATAAAACTTAACTGGCTTCCAAATAAAAAGAAATAAAATCATTAAAATAAAACTTAACTGAAATGAGTTTTTTAAAAATTTTCATATCTCAGATCTAGAAGGTTGTATTTGCTGACAAGTCTGTAGCTTGTTATTTTTACACTTTCAGGTTTCCATCTCTTTATATCAATCTCGTGAAAGCTTATTAAACCCTTATTTGAATTTTTGTATCTCTTTCTGCCTAAACCTTTACAATGACTCACATAAAAATAAAGTAATTTTAAAAAAATCCATATATAAAAGCTAGAATAGGAGCCCAAGTTTTAGCAATGTATTTTGATTTTATCAGGCCTTACTAAGCAAATGATTGGGAAATAAAGTGCTATTTCTCCCTTGAATATTTAGATGAAGTCAATATATTTTGTGGCTTCTTTGGAGGAAACAGGACTCTACTGACACTCCAGTCTGAGAAGTCTGCTTTGCATTTGGGTTCCTTTGGAGATAAGTTGTTCTAATTAACTATTCCTGCATAACTCAGCTGCTTGTCAAACTTTGTTCTTTTCCAGTCTTCTTCATCAAATCTCAATGGAACAGATAGTTCATCATCCTGTATGTCCATATTTGTTGTGTTGCACTTAGAGTGAGTAAATGTATTAGCAGGTTTGGTGAAATATGAGTCTGTTCATTCTGTATTATCTGAATGAGGCATATCAGTTCAGCACAGGTAACTTGTTTTCATATGCACATTTTGTAATGAGGAAGCGTTTGAGGAAATTTGGCTTGTTTGTCGTAATAAGGTTGGCTTAGGCAAAGGCACCTCATTTTTTTGTCCAGTTTTTTTTTCAATCACTGAACAATTTAGTACTTCACCTGCTGAATTTGCTAAAATACTTCAGTGTTCCTGAGAATAAGATTAAGATTCCGTGGAACTGTTTCTCCATTAAAAAATTATTCCTTTTTTATTTTACTTTCTTTGTTAAAATCTTAGCAATGTCAGCAGTGACTCACTCAGACTTTGTCACTTGTCTAGCAGCAATGGAATGATGCTGTGATATGGAAAAAATCATATTCTTTGGCATATTCTACCAATTCGTGAAAAGTCATCTAAGTTCCATTATCTTAAAGCCCGTTAGTTGGGATAGTAAAATGGACGAGATCCCAATTATTTGGGGTGGTCACTGCAGCAATATCCAGTAGCTTTTCCGCTTCCCAAGGATCTAAAAAGTTTTCAATACCAATAAGATTCATGGCTCATGGTGAAAAGGCCTATCTCTATTTTTCTTCACAGTCCATCAGAAACTCTGTAGGTTTACATTCAATTTTTCTTTGACACTTGGGCTGCTATTCGAACAGGTTTGCAAATTATTATTTGTCATGTCTGGCCACTATTTCAAACAGCCTTTGCTTGTTGCATATTAGCTTCATAGCATTTTAGATCTGGACCATCTGAAAACATGACATGGCTGCTTTTATGTGTGACATTATCTGGTGTCTTCAACAAATTAGTTACAGAGTGCTTCAAAGGCAAAGGGACTGTCCTTCCAAAAGGACATACATGAGCATCTGGTTTTGTGAATTTCTTACAAGTTGTCTAATATTTCATCACAGGTTCTTTTTAGCCCCTGCTCTTAAACTGGCATAGAAGTTATTTGGTTGATGCCGGCTGTCGTTTCTAAATTGCTATGAGGTCAAGATTCTCGTGTTCTCTGTCCTGTAAGGCTGTTCTGGATAGAAAATCTACTAACTACATATTGATCATTTTCTTCTGGTATTCATCTAAAATATAACAATGAAGCTTCAAAAGAAAAAAACAGAGATATCTAAAACCTGTTAGCAGAATTGTGTAGAATACTGTGCAGTGGGCATTTTCCACACAGAGTTTCCTATCTTTGAAAAACAGATTCAAATTTTTCCCATTGAAGAGCAATTGGAAGTAATTCCTTTTTCTATCAAATACATTTGCATGGGTCTGCTATTTGGTGTGACTGTCACAAATTTAGATGATGACAATTTTTACCAGAATGCTTTGATTTTTGAAATATCCTGTGTGCACTTAAATGACCAGATGATATTGCTTCTTAAGGTTTCTTTAAGGCATATTATTAAAAAAGTGGAAATGACGATTTACATTTACATTGCTACATTTTCCAGAAATGTTCAATATTGAACCTGATTTTAAAAAATCACAATTGACTGACATATGGGTTTTATTGGTAAACTGTCCTTCCAGCTAAACATATTTTTCTATTGTAATGTCTCTTGCATTTGAAGTCCTATATTACTAAAAATTAATAATAATGCCTATAGTAATGAAGGAATTTGAGTGCTTCTTAAATCACAGCTATTTCTGTCTCACAACCTCATACAGAATCACACACAATCACAGAATGGCTGAGGTGGGAAGGCACCTCTGGAGATTATTTAGTCCAACTCTCTGCTCAGACCAAGGTCAAGCAGAGAAGGCTTATCAGGACTGTGTCCAGTTGAGTTTTGAATACCTCCAGGAATGTAGATTCCATAACCTCTCTGTGCAACTTCTTTCAGTGTTTGACTATTCTTGCAGTAAAATGATTTTTCCTATGTTTCTCTGGACCCATCAGGGCCCATGAATGTGTGTATGCACAATTTGTTTAAATGTTCTCTGAACTGAGCCTCCTACACTAAGGGTAAGACTTCCTTACTCCAGACATTCTCCCCAGTCTCATGGACCTGGGATTGCTCAAGGCCAGTCTTCCCAGTAAAGATAGAGGGAAGACAGAGTATCTCATCCTCCCCTACCCTACTCAGTAGTAAGCCTACGTACTCCACTATGCTCCTTTTGCAGCAGGTAGATCTGCAGAAACCCTTTTTATTACCCTTTGTATCCCTTGCCAGATTCAGCTTTGAGTGGGCTTTTGTTTTTCTAACCCCATCCCTGCACACTTGAGCAGTGTGTGTATATGCTTCTTCAGTCAATTCCCTCGAGGGAGCTGTAGTACATGGGCTGCATACGTATCCTTCTCGGAGACTTAACCAGTCTTTTAAAGTCTGGTTTCCTTGATACACTCAACTCTTGAGACTCCCATGATATGTCATTTCCAATTACAGAGGTAAAATACCATGATTTCTTTTCAAAGGATGAAAAAGTATCTCTAAACTATTTGAGGGAGTGGGCCACCAAAAAAGTTAAGACATTCTGTGGAAGACAATATGTCTTCCAATAAGGTCCAGGGAATTTCACGGTTTCTGCTAAAAATGGTGAGAGCATGGAGAGGTTTATTTCCTTGGAAAACGTGATCACCTCATTCATAATGAAAAACAAGGAGTTTTGAAAAACTGAATTTATTGTGAATGTGATCCCTAGAAATTAAGGACACTAACTGACAGCTTCAAGGGACTGGCAACAAAGTGCCACCCTTTCACAATGTAAAGTATAGCCCTTGGACAAGCTCCTCTTCTACAGAATGTAAAAGGAGCCTCTTACAATATCTTACTTCTGAGGTCACTTGTTCTTTTCATCTGAAGATGCCACCCTATAAGCTTGGGAAATCCTGTGTCACAAAATAGCTGTGGGTTGGCCAGGGACTGTAAATCATGGTTTGGAATTTGGGATGTTATCCAATATGAATGATACCATTCCTTTTATATAAACAACTCTGTATTTTTTTCCTGTCCATTATGCTGGTGCTAAATATAACATACTAATGGGCTCTGTAGGCTTGCAGTGGGTTTCCTCTTGAGGCTTGATATTTTTTGTATTAATTTATTTTTTATGTGTTCTCACTCCTATTCCTAGCAGCACAGCATGCTTCCTCACTATAAGAAAGAAAGAAAGAAAGAAAGAAAGAAGGAAAGAAAGAAAGAAAGAAAGAAAGAAGGAAAGAAAGAAAGAAAGAAAGAAAGAAAAAAAGAAAGAAAGAAAAAGAAAGAAAGATAAAAAAAAGATTGAAAACCCCGATTTATCTTCTATTTGAAAAAAACATCTGCAGAACAAAATGAGCCTCTTGATGCCGGAATTGTCATCAATGATGACTTTGACAAAATGAGCAATACATAATTTGCTAGCTCCCTTGCGAAGCTGAAACAGATTGTCAAATAAAACACTGGAGGAGATGCATATGGGGTGAGTAGACCAGCTTTGAATATGAACACATGCAGGTGGTCATTTAGTAGTGGTTCTAAGAGGCAGGACATCCCTAATTTGGAGGGTCATTTGCATTTGGAAATGCTCAGTGATAAATAGTGATGTATTCCCTATAGTAAAACAGGACTGATAGGGCCAAAACTACAGTTATTTCTGTTCCAGGGTAACTTGAACAAACCAGACAGCCCAAGGCATAGTAGAGAGTGGTTTACACTCCAACAAACCTGCCATTAGTGGTGGGTTTGCAGAATACAGATTAGTAAGATTTGAAAAAGTGCTTTGTTAATAATAGAAAATTTGAACTTCTTCACTCTCTGGTAAGAAATTATGGATTTTTCATAATACAGGAACAGGAGCTGTATGGGCTTAAATGCTGTGTAAAACAGGCAACCTTCAAAAATTTTTTATCACAACCTCTAATTTTGAGTAAAGCTACTACTCTGAATTCTCAAATTGCTCAGTCCACCATCAGCCACTTGACAGAAGATGCAACATGCAAATATATATGTTCCTGTATCTTACTCCTCTTCTTGACTATGTGTCTGTGTATACTGTTAGATCATGAAAGAGTATTTTAAGAATATCTTTAAAGAAATTTTGGGCTTATTATGTGTAAATTTATGCTTGTTTGAAGAAGGGCGGCATATGATCATTTTGGCTTACATTCCATTCCATTCATAGTATTTGTCTGTGTCAGCCAAATTAAATGAAATATTTCATTAAGGAATTATTAATCTGCCCATCAAGAAAGTTTCTCTGAGATACTGTTCCTGCAAAAACCTTTTCTTTGTTTGAAGCTCCCACTAGATATTCTGATTGCCTTCAACACCAATGAGATTAAATGACATTGTGAGCTTTTTGGGACCGAGGACATTCTTCGAGTTTGGACAGAGGATGACATCCGAAGGCCTTACTTCTGACTGGAACCTTCAGATGTGAGTATGCTATAAATAACTAATGATGATGTCAGCTTAGGGGCACTTAGCAATGTGTAAGATCATGCAGCTCCTTCAGCAATAGTTCTGTATGTAATCTCAGCCTTTTAGCATATTACCTCTAAAAGAACATAACTTCCTCTGGAAGCTTCATTTCCATTTAACTAACCTTGTCCTTTTTTCAGATGTACTCCTCTTGACATGTGTAAAGGAAATACCCCAATGAAAACTTGTTCAGAATCATTAATTACTTTTGATCAGACTCCTTCCTCCATACCTTGGTTAATAGTGTAGATTGAAAAAAATAACAGCCAGATCTGTTATCCCAGCAATTATTGAGAAATGAAAGTGACAATTTGCTTACTTGCCTGAAAGATCAAACAGTAAACCCCTAATTTCAGTCACTTGGCACTGGATTTTATATATTGAAACTGGCAGGCACTTTATGCAATGTCCAAGCAGAAATGACCTCAGGCTTTCATGGACTACAGCACAATATTCTCAGAATCACTCTGCCTACTGACTGGCTGGCTTTTAGAAGACTCCTTTTTTTTTTCTTTTTTTTGAGTCTGTGTTAACCATACATACATGCAATCAGAAATAAAGTTTGAAACAAAAAAGTGACCTAATGAATCATACAATATACAAGTATAGTGTGCCTTGACACTGAGTGTTTAATAGCTCATCCTTAGAGGCAGTGGAAAACTACAGTAATTGAAGAAGGAGGAGTATTTGACTCTTGAGTATGACTTTTTATGAACACTATATAGTTCATAGTACACTAGGGATCTTTTAAATGCAGGCCATTGGTGTACAGTAAGTTTACCTCTTTGATAAATGATTATTTTACCACATACTCAGATAGGAAACTTTAACTACTGCAGATGAACAAAGAAGAGCATTCTTATTCCCCTTTTTTGTGTTTCCCCCTTTCTTGGATCTATTCTCCATGCTGTCTTTCAGGCCAAAAAGAAACCAAGAAAAAAAATGCTTCAGGACTGGTGTGAGTCAATTCAGTTTGCTAAGATCAGCATCATCAGATTTTCTTCAGTATAACAATGAGGTGGTTGCTTTACAGATACCTGCCTTTCCTCTACTGCACTCCGAAGCTGAAACATAGACCACTTAATAGTAAATAAATTAAAGAATTCATTAACTTTATCTACCTATGGGAGAGGTTCTTGGTTTATTGAACCTACATAAATATTGAAACATTTTTGACTGCAGACATCTGTGCATGGCTGTATATGGCTAGCTAAATGCTAAAAATTAGAAATCTTTACCTCAGTAAAAAACAGAAACCTGAATGCATTAGAGAGGTCTTCTGCAGAAAAAGGATCATCATCAAATGCTTAAGCTTTGCACAACGCAGTTTCTTTTAAAACCAAGTGATTCACAAGGCTATATATACACAACTAAAAAAGTTCTCTGAAGATTATATCATATGGAAATAGTAGTACACTCCATTAATTACCCTCTCTGATGAAAGGAAGGGTGAAATTTGTTATAGAATCAGACCACAAGATAGAAAGTCCCAGGCATCCATTATATAATTTAGTCCTGACATAGCACATTAAATTTTGAGAAAGGAAGACCATTTTACTGTAAAGTCAGCAAAATGCCACAGAACTAAAACCCTGCTGCCTGCATACCACTAACCATATCTACAGTGAATAACTACTCTAACGATCACATTGGTATTAATGGTATAAGAATTTTACAGTGGTTTGTGCTTTCACTTCAGCCTCACACAGGCATTTCCGTTGCTCCAGCAGATATTTTAAGCTTTGACATTTTGGTGAAATATTAAACCTCCTATTTACACCATCATGCCTTTTCAATCTGCCACCTGGTACACCAAAGGCACACCTATTAAACCAGCATGCCCTCCTGCTAACCATTCCCAAACCTGTTTGCCAACCAGGAGAGCAAACACACAGGGCCAGAGTTTCCAGGAGATGACTGGTGGTGAGGCTGTGGCTTTGGGCTCAACCCTGAGCTAACAGCACTGCCTAGTCTGGGCAGCAGCCAGGACCTGGGGAGCAGTGTGACTCCTGGATTTTAGAAGAGAGTAATTTCTAAACCCCAGAACTGACCACATGGCTTCACCCAGAAAACAGAAGGGTGAAACCAAAGTCCTGTCTTTTCCCTGCTTCCAGAGAGGAAAGAAGGGTGAAACTGGCTTATCTCTAAATGCATAGCAGAACAACATCAAATTCCATATTTGTTACTTATCTCAATGAGAAATTAGAGACCTTTTTGGTTATAGCCCCAGGTGTCAAAGTCCTAGTGCTCAAAAATGTGATCACAAGAGGTGAAGACCTTCCCTGTCTCCTTGCGCAGTCCAAACGAAGGTGCAGCCTGGTGTCAGAAAGGGGAACACTATTTGATTCTCTCTGTGCAATTAATTCATTTCTGCAGTGGCGTCTAGTGAGCAGCAGTGGAATGGATTTGATGATTTTTGCCATGTTTATAAAGTGCCCAAGAACGTGCTGGGTGCTTTGGTCACCCCTTGAGTTTTAGGACTCACAGCCTTTGCTATCCTAAGGCTGTATTTTTCCCCCTCACAGCTGGCTGCACAGCATGGAGCAGATCAAACAGACAGCATTCAGCTGGGTATTTACTTAATTTACTTTTTCATACAACCTCTGATTTTAGTAAAATTATGAATAAATTAGAAAGCTACCACATGGCTTTCCCACAAGGACAGCACACATTCTCCTACTATTTCAAATCCAGTGATCTGTTTCTGTGCTAAGGTTCACACTGAGGCATCAGTATCTGACAACCGATCAGCCCCAAGTTCAAAGATCAAAATGAGACCATGTGTGGGTCAGTTTTGAGAACAAATGCAGTACAGTAATGGGGACAGTATATCCTAAGACGACAAAGAGAATATTTGTTTTCAGTGAGCTATTTGCTGAGCAAGGTTTTATCCAAATCCATTAAAGAGCACAGCTAACAGCACTGCTGTGGCTATGAAAACCCCTATGCGATTCTACTTCATTACATGTTAGCCCTAAGAGGCCTCAGTAGACTAAACAAGTACAGCTATACTGGGGGATGAAAGGATCAAAGATCAATTTACAGGAAAAACAAATTCTCCTTATACCTCCTCCCTCTCAGATGCAGGTGATTAGCCACTGCATAAGGCACTTCAGCTAACATCAGCATCCTGCTACACGCCCCACTTAGTACATCCCACAGATTGTAATCTCAACAACTGAAGTTTGTGATTTCCCAGCAGCAAAGGCTCCTCTTGCTTTGACTAGTAGACTGGTGGTAAAAATATGTGTTATTTGTTCTGTATCTGTATCTGATTTGCATGAGCAAAACCCTCCTTAGCTCAAGCATCTACCCCAATAACGTCTCAAAATTCACATCAGCCTTTATACAGCTTTCTTCTGCCTTAGTAGGAAGGGAGCTGGATGGCTCAGAACTGACCTTCTTATTCTCATAGAAAGGCACACACCTTAAACCTGTATCACAAGTTTGGAGAGTTTCCTGCTTTTTAAAGAGTTCAGTTTTTCAACATGTTTTTCAATAGACAATGTTTCTTTATAGTGGTTTTCCTTGTTGTCTATCTAAAAAAGTTGATGTTTTCTGCTTCCACTTGATTTTTTTTTAAATTGAAGAGTCATCCTTGGCAAAAAAAGAAAAGAAAAGGAAAGAGTCAGAAAAGAGAGAGATGCCAAATGCTAGTAAGCATTTAGGTGCAGCACTCTCTGCCAACAATAAAGGTATATTTTACTTAAGAGGTCTAGGAAAAAGTTATTTTTGAAATATCCTTTTACAGCACAACCTGCAGTCAAAGCTTTCTGAATTTATCATCTCAATTTTTTTTTTTACAGAGCTGTTTCTACCTGAAATTCTTAAAAACAGCTGAGTAACAAGTTATCAAGGTTGTTCATGTTAACAACATAGATAAAATTTTTTGAATGGATACTTGCAAGAGATGTATTCAATTTTGCAACTTACATTCAATGTGGAAAAAGTCTATATTACAAACCAGAGTGTTACTTGCATCCTCTCCTCTCATCTGCTACCTTCAGAAGAATACAATGTGAAAGTGTAAGAAAGGCATACCTTACGCTCAGAATAAATTAGTTCTTCCCTTGGTAACAATCAAGGCTGGTCAGAAGAATATGTCCTATCATCCTTCGATTTCTGGAACTTACTCTCAAGAAAATAACCTCATATAATGACTCCAAAAGCATTACACAAGATTCAGAGAAGTCTTATCAAAAGCAATTGAAGATGTTCTCATGAGGTTTAAAATCTTAGTGCTAGTCCTATTCATTCAAAATCTTGTAACGGAGTTGTCATTGCTTCATACTGGAAATTGAAGTGAGCTTTGGGGCATCTCCCTTAGTCAGTGAATGTAGACAGATGCACAAGAGCTGACAGGCTGAAAAATCAGTGTTACTGGTGTATTCCATAAGCACCACACATAGTGGTGATTGACCTACTTCAGTGCTCCTGTGAATATGAATGAAGCATTCTCAAATCCTTAAAATGCTGCCAAACATATCTGTGACAGGATACATCCCTTTCATTCCATGCCAGGATAGCAACTTCGATCCTCAGGACTCACAAAATAGCCTCTAAGACTTTTATATGCATCCCCATGAGTCAATTCAATCTTGTCTCAACCGTTGTGTTGTATCAATATCAATATTAATAATTTTTATTTTAAAATATTTACATAATGTCTGGAAATAACAGTAATTATTTTTGAGGGACTATAAGAAATGAGTGACTATTAAACAGGTTGCAGTGTTTACCTCTAAGTAAATATCCTTTAATAAATGAATGTTACGTTCTAAAACATGGCTACTCTGAAACTTGCTATGAAAATGCGTTAAAATCAGCAGCTTTCTTACATCTATATCTCAGAGTTGCCCTTTGAAATCATTCCTCATGGGAAGCTATTATGTTGTAGAAACCTTCCTGAAAGCTGCTCCCACAGAAGCACAAAAGCTAAATGCGTTGTGTAACACAACAGTGAAAAGCAAACAGTGACTCCAGCACTCTCCTGTGTGTTGTAGCCCCTGTACGCTCTGTTCTGTGTCATGGTCAGTTACTTGTTGCTGGCATTTCTTGACCCCTTCCTGTTTTCAAGGGAAATACACTTGCAAAACCAACAAACAATCCTATGTGGGACAGCCCTGTTCACCGCAGCTATAGCTAACATCAGTCATGTGGGCTGCCTAGCAAACAGGGCCTTGGCTCTGCCTTTGGGCATTCAACTTGATCCCAGAAGCAAAGTTATCTTTCTGAAGCAACTATCTTTGCCAGTTTTGTTCAAAAACCTCTGCATGTAGCCTGTGAGACAGAAGGAAAGGGGTCTCAATGTGGGGAGACTTTTGCCATCATAATTCACGCACTAAAATACATTAAAAGATTTTTCTAATCAATGACTTATACTAAGCTTCATTTTTGTTTGTTGTCTACTGAAACACAAAAAGTAGAAATATATATTTTTAGTCAAAAAAGGAACTAATTGGCTGCTTTAATGCAAAATCAAACACCTTTTATAATTGCTTTATGTACACATAAAAGTTCCCTGCTAGCTGTGCCAGTGAAGCCTGTATTTTATCTGCATCATCTGCTTCTTGTGAGAT